GATATGGCTGAGTACTATGTGTTCCATTAGCTTGCTGCAGATGCAGGTCAAGGAAATAGGCCTGTAATTTCCTGGATCACACTTATCACCGGACTTGTGGATGGGTGTTACCAATGCATGCTGCCATTCAGCTGGAACAGTGCCAGAGTTGTAGCTCTGCTGAAAAAGGAATCCTAAGGCAGGAGCAATCTCGTCAGCTACAAGCTTGAGGAGTTTAGGTGGAAGTTCATCTGGCCCACAAGCTTTGGATGGGTTGAGATTTGACAGCTGCTTTGCCACACCAGGACGATGAATGTGTAGATGGCCGATATCAGGAAAGTGTGAGGAACCTTCCATACGAGCATGACAAACCTGTTGGTTGGTGAATACCGAGTGGAAGAAGGAGTTGAGACACTCTGCTTTGTCTTTGTTGGTCGTGTGGATGCCTTTGTCAGATCTAAGCGATGGGATTTTCATATTCTCAGTCCGACACTGCTTGACATAGGACCAGAAGGTCTTGGGATTCCCTTGCAGACTGTTCCCTATGATGTTGTTCACGTAATCGTGATGTGCTTGGTGAACTAGTTTCGCTACCACGTTGCGGTGCTGTCTGAAAGCATTCCATTTTGACGTACTGGGGTTTCTACGGGCTTTCTTAAAGAGCCTATCACGCTTCCTCATTTTTCGTTTGAGGTCGGTGGTGATCCACGGAAGATGTCGCCGGGATTTGCTCATCTTTGATGGTATCAGATCCTCCATACACTTCTTGAGGAACACAGATATCCTGTTCCAATTCTCATCTACAGTTTGGAGCTCTGGAGATGAAAGGAAGAAATCGATTGAAAACTTTTCAACAGTTTCTTTAATGATCTGGTGGTCTGCTCGGTGGAATTGGTAGATCTTTCTGGGAGGGGCACGGGCTGTTTTCGGATTTCCTGAGAAGACGAAGGACACAATGTTGTGGTCTGATATGCCAGGATGAATGGATACATCTGTAATGAGGCCAGGGTTGGACGTCAAAAGAAGATCCAGGATGTTACTAGACGCAGGACGGGTTACATCCCTTACCAGTTGAGTTAGTGAGAATTCCAATAAGGTGTCAAGCAAAAGTTGATGGATGCTTGCACGGTTTGGATTGGTCAGTAAGCAGGATTCCCAGTCGATGTCTGGAAGATTGAAATCTCCTCCAATGATGATGTTAGGGTGACTTCTTCTGTGTTTAGACATAACCTTAGCGATGGAGAGTTGGAGTTCCTCAAGGTCTTGCTTTCCGTTACTTGGGGGACGGTAAAAGCTTGCTATAAATAGTGGCTTTGCGTTGGTAAATTGTAAGTTACACCAGATGATTTCACTATTTGAGTTGAATTCCGCACAGTTGGTTAAGATGAGAGACTCATGCACTGCTACAAAGACACCACCCCCACGGTCGTTTCGATCATTCCGGAATACTGTGTAATTTCTAGGAAATACACTGTAAGTAGGGGTTGTCTCGTCAAGTTTAGATTCGCAACCAAGGATCACATCTGGCTTGTGATGACTAATCAATGCTTGGAATTGAGAGTACTTCGCAGCACTTTTAAGACCATTGCAATTGATAATGACGCCCTTCAGGATCTTCCTGCGGTTTTTAGATGGTGAGAAGTGAGGGCGTGGTGGTAGCCTCGATGCATGACCAGATGACGCTGAAGTTGGTGTTGACGTCTGACAATGATATTGAGCATCATCGGTTGTGTCGCTGATGCTTAATGACTCAAACTGATTGCTTGTGGAGAGGCTGGCATTGCTGCTGAGGGAAGCTGCTGTTTCTGCATTTATGCTATGACATCTGCAGCAGACCCACGAGAACCTGTCGAGTCTGGCGAGGACTTCATATGATTGCTCAGAAATACCATTGCATGTAATATGGCACCACATGTTGCAGTTATCACAGAGAAGAGCTTGGTCGCTGTCCGTGACATTCGCATTACAAACAGCGCATGGGAATGTGTCTATTGGCCCCGGGTTTCGCTCGACTTGGCCGCTTAAGAGTAGTAGAATAGCGAGATGACTAGCAGAGCGAAGATTCAGCACACTGGTTGAATTTCTCTTATACTGGAATGCTTGAAGGAGTAGCAATGTGCTTGATTTGCATACAAGGTGCACGTCTGCTTGAGGGCAGAGAGAGGTATCCAATGAGCGAAATTCATGCTCATGATGAATATCCTGCTGAGAGAATGGCTTAATTATCAGTAAGCCTGTGCTAGTAATAATCAAGAAGACCATGATGACAGGATGTTTCCATGATGAGATCATGGCTGGAGGAATATGTCTACCCATGCTAGATGTAGAATGATATGATGTTGCATACAAATGTACAATGTACAATGCAAGTCGATAATATACACTGTTACTGACCGGGATATATGAAGTTGGACTACTTTTGTACTACTATTTACTAAGTACTATTATAGCAATCTCAGTCTAGTCTCAAAAAAACCAGCATTAAGTCAAATTTATGACAGCTTCTCGCTTCAAGTCAAGATCAATTATGCTCTCAGACTTGCCATCACTCTCATGAACATCATAGAAGCGAAGAAGGAAATGAAATCGATACTTGCAGAAGACTTGCAGAAGTTGGCTTGTGGATGTCAATTACCAACACAAGAGGTAGTATATGGGGCTGGTAAATCCATTTGCTTACTGTGCAAAGTTGAGAAGCTAGATTGAAATCTGCAGATTTTTGCAGATTTTCACGATGACAACCCAGAATTGTCAATTAAAATTGATTTAATGTGTTCACAAGGATATTGGCAGTTAGCTAATCATGTGATTACACAAGACAAGCATTCAAAAGCAGAATTTAAATGAAATTTTTGGCAGAGAATTTGGGAGTGCAACAATCACCCCTGCTGACACAACACAAGGGTGGTGGTGGTATAGTAGTAGTAGTAGTACTACTACTACTAGTGGTGGTAGTATAGTAGTAGTAGTAGTAGTAGTGGTGGTGGTATAGTAGTAGTAGTAGTGGTGGTAGTAGTAGTAGTAGTAGTAGTAGTAGTAGAAGTATATAGTAGTAGTAGTAGTAGTAGTAGTAGTAGTAGAAGTAGTAGTAGTAGTAGTAGTAGTAGTAGTAGTAGTAGTAGCATAGTAGTAGTATACATCACCATCATCATCATCGTCATCATTACCATCATCATCATCATTTTATCATCATTCATATCATTATTATCACTATGGAGATCGAGGGGCATGTAAAATTGAACGTGAAACAATTGAATGTGAAACATTTACGAGATGTCTAGCAACAACCCCAGGGCAAGAACAAACTGTACACAGTAACGCAATCACAATAGGCTTGCGTGACGCTAATGCTTTACGACAATAATATTTAGACCTGTCAAAAATCTAATGAAGAATAAAGTTGTACAGTGAAACATGTCTATAAAGACCACCCAAGGGAGACAAGACATAGTCTTTATAGTCAGGTGGTCTTTGTACAGGTTCCCAGTACATGATTCAATGAAAAACCATTTTCAAGCTAGGGAAACAAAGAATGTGGTCTTTGTAGACAGGTGGTCAATAAAGCAGGTTTGAATGAATATAATTACATGGACTCACATTTTTGTTGTTGACTGTCTGAAAACGGAATATTACAATTTCAATTATACTTCATTTCATGCATTATATTCCACATACTAAGAATCTTGCTCTACGATTGGTCAAAAGTAAATCACGTGATGAAAGATAGATCGCCCATTATTGATGGGAGAAGCAAAAAGTTCGTTACACTGTGTAGATAGTACTACTATCTACACAGTGCAACGCACTTTCACTGAAGATAGAGGTACTATCTACAAAGGGGAACGCACTTTCACTGAAGATTATCCAAAAGCGCACTAAAACAGGCGTAATTAAGCGCGCATTATATTACCAACGAGCGCAATTAAAACAAACACATGCGCGCACCGTACCCTCAAGGGGTTGGGTTAAACTAACCTTTTTGGTGTGAATTTGGGTATGGTGTCTTTTATATAGATGCATACACGTCCTTTTTTTTTGTAGTTAAATTGTTTTAGATGTGGAATATAAAGCAAATAATCACCTTTTTAATTTTAGAATATGGCAAACTATCACTTCCTCGTCGATCATAATGTATACGCTATCTTTGTTACCTTTATTTATAATGTTTAGGTTCCTTGGACACCCTTCCTCCTTGCATGCATTATAATAACACTGGCACCGGCCTTTCATTGTCAAGGTATGTAAATCCCGATCGCACTGACTACGATCCGACTACGATACAAATTTAGCAGAATTAGCAATAGCATTTGATACGAATATTCGCCCATGTAAAATCTAAGGGTGGTTTTCTCGAAAGCGGACTAACTTTAGTCCATGGTTTAATCCAGCGATTAAGTATGAAATGCCAAGTGTCCATATGAATATATTTTTGATTAAATTAATATGTCCCTAAATTATCATGGTAAAATAACGATATCATAGTTATATTGTTGTTTATTAATTATGTTATTATATTTTATTTTAATTTATTGTTAAATTAAACTATTCAAAAACATATTCATATATGGACACTTTGCATTCCATACTTAGTCGGTGGATTAAACCATGGACTAAAGTTAGTTCGCTTTCGAGAATACCACCCATAATAACGAAGGATCTGACTAATCATTATGATCTTTAAGCAAATATAAATTCCAAGGGACTTCAAGCTTCCTTGGAGGAGGAATAGCTAAATCGGCGGAGAATCGTAGTGACATCATACCAATAGTGCGGTTGTCTACGATTGAAAGGCGATACGGCTTTCATTCTGACTGGAATGCTTAAATGAAGTACAATTCCGGCCGTTAGTATTCTTATCATTATTTAGAACCTTAAAAAAAGATGGTAATGTTGATTTAGATTTCGAGATCTATAATAATTGGCATTCCTGTAAAGTCGGATCACAGTTGGATCGCAGGAGGATTGTATCATGAACGGCAGGCTTAGCCATAGTAACCATAGTACAGACACCTTATCAAAATTCAATATTTTAATATTAGCCTTACAATATTACTGCTTGATTAAAATTAAAAATGATTAATTGCCCAGATGCTCTTTGGTAATGGCTTATCAATGTCGTGAATTTATATAGTTTTATTCCATTTTTTTTTCTTCAAGTTTAGAATGTCGCAAAGATTGGTAATTTTAGGGAATCCAATAATGATATGGTATGAATTCATTCAGCTTCATTAATTCCTCAATTATGACTGTTCAATCTCTTACTATACCACAGAAGATCAGTGAGTTTCTACAATCAGATTTTTATTTTGCCCTCCTTCTTTCATCCTTTCTACTTTATTTCAAAGCGTCCTGTCCTAGTGGTTCGATTGGCCGACTGGAATACTGCTACACACTCCATAGTGAGCCGTTGTCATGGCGACTCGCAGGGTCGCAATGTGGCTTTGATGGCGGTTTCTTGACCTCCATAGTGAACAGACAGGAGAATGACTTTCTTGTAGGTAAGGTGATGTTCAACTTTTTTGGGGGGTCTGCTGCTGGGAGCTTCGACAAGTAACATTTAGGCGTAAGAGGGGAAATGTATGTAATATTAAAAGGACAAGGAGGAGAAGAGGGCAGGATGCGGAGAAGTGTGAGGAGGAGGAGAAGCGAAGGAGGAAGAAGAGTAGGAGGAGGGGGAGGAGGGGGAGGAGGATGAACAGTAGTAGTAGTAATACTAGTGGTTGTAGTATTGGTAGTAGTATAGTAGTAGTAACAGCTGCAGTAACACGAGTAATAGTTATATGAATAATCATTTAAATTATTTTACACTTTGACTCCTCTTAAAGACGACGGAGTGTAAGTCATTAATTTTCAACATACATACATAGACCGTAATCAGGTTACATACCAATATGAAATATCCTTCAAGTTTGCGATTACTCAAATCGTGAAAGTTTGAATTCATCATTTTACAAGTTATTCTTAATGATTTTAAACTTTACTTATTAAACACCAACTATAATGTATACGCATCATAAAAACGAACGAATAAAGATAAAATAAATCAATACAAATATATATTTGTTGGGATCTTCTCAATTAGAATCCTTCGGAAACCTGACAAGTTTAGCATGGATAGGAATGGACTCGAGAGGGCGCTGGTTAGATGGGTCAAGTTCTCAGCTTTTTTACAATAAGTAAGTCGATGTGTGTAATTTAGTGTTTACTTCTCATGTATTACTATCTTAAAGGTAATACTAAGTTATTGAATTGTAAATAATAAACTCTTTATGTTGTATAGCTCCCTCTCAAGGTCAAGATATTAATTAAGCTATGAAACTATGGTTGTTGACTGACATCGACTGATTAGCTATTCCCGTGTTGAAATTATATATCACAAGTACATATTCTGAGATTTTCATGGTCGCAGCTATTGTTGTAGGGCCGTAGGCGCTATTCGAAATTTATCAAAATTTACCGGGAGCACCGGGAAATTGTTATATTAAATTTTTCTCGAAAGCAGAAGTGTTTTAGGGGCTACATTTTCTAGTACTCATAATACATCCACAGGGGCATCCAAATATATCAAAATTGTAAAGAATCACCATCCACCCAATTTTCAAAATTTCCCAAAACTTTGTATTACCTTTAAAGCAAATCTTGAGCTCTGGTATGGGAAACGTATTCTGAGAGAAGATTGCTATGATTTTTTCTGGATTGTTTATCCTGCCGTAAATTGGTTTTTCATATTGCTCCGGTTGTCTCATTTTCGCTTGCTGGACGTATATAGTAGACGACAATTTGCGGATTAGACGACACTTGGTAGTGAATTTGTATGTGAGATTGCTTTGCTAAATATATAATAGAAGAACTTTTTCCATATCTTTAAACTATCATTGATATCTGATAATTAAACAGTTATTAAAATGAACCTACCAAATTACATAATACAATGAAATACTTGACTTAAAGTAGGGGAGTTTGATGTGGTGCATAATTGCACCCCTCTGTAAATAATCGAATATTCATGTCTTTGATTACCTCGGCAAAATGTTTGCTTATCTTCAATGGAAAAATTACGGTGGGGGTTGGTTGAAATGGACATAATGGACCGATCAGAACTGATCTATTATAATTCATGCTTCTTATCCTTCGTGTGCTTGACCTAAAACCTTACAATCGCTTGGCTAACTGAGTCCCAAGTTCGACTTGTTTCACATGTGTTATATAGGCTATGGCGAGCTTGCAACCTATTTTGATCAAATTACGGTGGGTGAACTTTCAAAAGTCAATGAGACATGAGGGTTCCATTGAAAGGGCTAGTGATAACGTACGTCGGGGTGGTTTTTGGTAAAATTCTATTTACTATATTGACCAGAAGTCAAGTTTATCGTTGAATGCAGAGGAGTGGAAAACGACTTGTAGGAGGCGTATCAGGGATTCTTTGGAGTTGAATCCACTCCACATTATAGCGGAGTCCACTCGATAGTAGTGATTGAATCACTCTGTTTAGAGTGGATTTAAATATTTTGGATTCCACTCCAAACAAAGTGATCCCTATTTCCACTCCAGTACATTTCCACAAAATTTTCTTGTAATAATTTTATCATGTGTATAGTGTATATGTATATGTATAGTTACCAAGAAAAAATGAATTATGTACCTGCATTTTGTTGATACTTTATGAATAATATATGAAATACCTTTGTTTATCTTTTTGTTGGAAATGAAATCAATATGAATTGAATAAATATGAATTGGATTGACTTGAGAGTATTTTTCAAGTGAAATCACTGAAATGACAATTCCCTCTTATGATCACATTCCATTGCTAATTAGTTTGGATACCTTCCTATAGAATCACAGGTCTCTCCATTAGAAAAAAATATATTAAACTAGTTAGCTAACAATGTCATGTAATATAAACATTGCGGTGAAATTATCCGTTTACGGAATACACATTTCCCTATCTTTTTGTTTAAATACCTAGTCTAATATAGATAGGATTGGTTTTAGGTCTCCTATTCTCTATTTTCTTAGACTCTGATCATGTTTTACATATTCTATGGGCGAATATACACTGTTAACGACAGTGAAGAATGACGAATTGTATTTCTTTATTATCTATTTGTACAGCTTTAGATATGAGACGTTAAACACACATAGTTGTCCAGTGATTGACCTGGACAGAAACGGAAGATGGAACGTCTCAAGCTGTCTAGATTCTAGACTCGACTTTATCTGCAAGAAGAATAAAGGTTTGTCCTGAATATCTGCAAGATCTCCTCACTATAAAGCAATCCCTCACTCCGTTCTTCTGCCTCTACCATCCTAGAAGTCCCCAGAACCCGAACCACTCATTATGGGGACCGTGCATTTGTGCATGTTGCACCAGTCCTCTGGAACAAGCTACCAAGTGCCATTCGAAACATTCAATGCCTAGAAACCTTTCAGAAACATGTTAAAACGGTTTTATTTACTCAGAGTTACAAATTATATTATGTTGATAAAATTCTGAAGAGAGATTTGTGTATTTTGTTTTGTATAGCGCCTTGAGTATTAAGTTATTAGTGCGCTTCATAAATATTTATTATTATTATCATTAATATGTTGGAATGTCCTCATTCCGATCTGTCCGAAAATACCAAGATATCCTCACTTCATTTGGTGATTGCACCTGATAACAATAATCATAATGCATACATTTATAATGTTCGGTATATTTACCCATTGTGCCATAAACAGATTAAATGTAATAACAACATAATTATGAAAGTGCTTTCAAAAGCATTCTTGTCATTACATATGTTTTTAGTTTTCTCTCAAAGTGATACAGTTTTACAATTTTCCTTTTACAAAAACGACGACGACAACAACAAGAACATCAAAACAAACAAGGTAGTATATCAAAATGAATTACTTTGGAAGTGGGCAATACAATTCAAGTCGGATATCTTACGGAACTGAAAACTGCAAAGGAGTGTCGAATTGGGCAAATTCGAGCCAGTTTCTCCCATAAGTTACACATGATTGTATCTAATATAATTTCAATTCAATTCAATTCATTTCAACCATAAAACTATACAATCATTTATGGAAATATAAAAACATGAGGTTATAGGAGCCCCCAAAGAAGCTTGAATACAAACTTGTGGTTGGGGCACCAACCATATGACATATATTATATCGAGAAATTAGAGAAATCAACATAAACAACATTAACGGGAAAACAAATATATACAAGAAAAAGATTATAAAAACCTATATGAGCATAAAACATTTACAGCAAAGCACCAGCCATGTGTGCACAAATAGGACACGGCGTCAAGCGACACTGCGTCCCTATGCGCCCCTAGCCGGTGCTTTACAGTACTACAAAACATTACAAAACCTGTGGTGCAAATTATTCATTATTCAATTGGGCTTTTTTTTTTTTTTATACTGCATGAACATTTCATATCATTCCAAATTGATCAACAGTTTTACTACGTTGATAGCCCTGCTAGAACTTAAAACAAAACCAAACTTATTAATTTGATATATTTGATGTCAATCTATGTTCATAACTTCACAATGCTTAGTTACATAATCGGACAGATTACAAATTACCTATAGGGCTTGCTTACAATCCATTGTGGTGTGTTATAAACAGAACTTAAAGGGGGCGTAGCATGATAAATACTAGTTAACACCATCTACGATTTTTTGTTGTTGACAACTACACGTAAACGAATGGACTTGATTAACGGTCAGCGCGCTAGCGTTCGCGAAAGAGACCGAAGTTCTCCTCACGCATCGGCTTCACGCATGTGAATACTGCGGTCGCGTCGTCCGTAGTCGTATACCCGAGTAGCCTCGAGTCAGGCCTTGGGGAAAAACACGTAGTCTCGTCATGCTACACCCCCTTTAAACTCTTCATTCGTTCATTCATTACCATTTTCAAAACGATCATAATACAAACATATTTAGCTATATACAAATATAGTTCTGCTTCAAATATATTGTCATGTATTTAAGTTGTGGGGTAGTAAATAAAACGTCTTGAATTTCACAAAACGATATGGAAAAGTTATGACCTTTAGGAAAATCGTTTTCGATAACGTAGAAAACATGCTACAAACACACCAATGTTTGGTAACTATTCCAAAATAACATTGGTAGAAAGGACACATACATTTTCCATTTTTACCCAATGTTGGTTTGAACTACTCCATTTTCTCTAGCTATATAGTGGGAATACCAATTTTGGTGAATTGTACCCCCAAGTTCCAATTGATTAGGTTGTGTTTGGTAATATGATTACTCTTCTATTGTATCTGCATTAGCATCTTATACAGTTCTAGACATGTTAACTGTTGTGTCTGGTTCTAGGACACCTATACCCCTGGACATCAACCCCGGATAACCACCCCTAGGACGACTACCCCCGGGACAACTACCCCCCTAGGACAACTACCCCGGGACAACTACCCCCTAGGGCAACCAACCTCTAGGACAACTACCCCCGGACAACTATCCTAGGGGGTATTTGTCTGGGGGTAGTTGTCCAGGGGTAGTTGTCCGGGGAAAGTTGTCCTAGGGGTAGTTGTCCGGGGTAGTTGACCGGGGTAGTTGACTGGGGTGGTTATCCGGGGGTGGATGTCCAGGGGGTAGTTGTCCGGATACGGTTTTGTCTATTTAATTTAATTTATTGACATGCCCTGCCTGATTTCTCTTAACATTACAGATGTTTCGGGTGGGAGAGACTCTCCTGCGCCTACAAACGGCGACGATGGAGAAGAATTTGAGGGATCATCGGGAAAGCCTAATACCACACTCATATCCGTGCTCTCGGTGCTTTCTTTCTTCGCAGTCACCGGTTGCTGCTCGATAGGAAATGGCGCGGTGGCAAAGTTTTTTTGTAAATGCACACTCGATATGCTGGCTGGATTGTGTAGCTGCATAATCGACATTCCGATTCGTTTGTGCGGGTGGCTATACGAATGGTTATGCGTTATAGGACTTGCAATCCAGGTATGCTTTTATCGATGCTTTAGGTGTGGAGGCCTGTGCAAAAGGCAACAGGAAGGAACGGAAAGGGCAGAAAGTATATCATCCTATGATTATGATCCTGAACCTCGAGGAGCGTTAAATTGCTTTCGATGTCTAAGGTGTGGAGGCCGGTGCAAAAGGCGACAAGAAGGAACGGAAGGTGTATCATCCAGTGATCCTGAAACTCGAGAAGCGTTAAATTGGCCTCCGCTAGCCGAAACGGGAACGGATGATCAATCACGAGCCACGCCATCAGCGCCCGCAGATCCACACACAGACCCTCCTCCAGCGTATGGGGACGTCACATCTAATCGTCCGCAAAGTACGCCAACAGCTCCACCGCCGTCACCGCTGCGTGACGACAGAACTGCGCCTCCGTCCTACGACGCAGCTTTGGATCCAACTTTTGATATTCGACCTTCAAACATTAGAGATAAGACGAAAGCAGCCCCATCCTACGAGTCAGTAGTTAGATCTTAAAAGCAGTTTATTACAATTTGATAATGTCTTAGTTTTTAGTGGACGTCTCATTCTAGAGATGTTATAGTTCATCCAGGACCTGTGACGGTTCGTTCGAGTTTCCTTTACTCTTTAAGAGAGGAAATTAACTTTCTGGGGAGTCATATTATTATGGATCACTTCACTGGCGTAGAAAACCACTTTCAAAGATTCAACCAATAGCTGAAGTGGAATCCACTATTTTTGGGAGTGGATTCAATTCTAAATGAAGTGTTCCTTAAAAGTATGACTCATCAAAAAAGTGGATTCTACTTATCATGCATCAAGAGAGTAGAATCTTCCAAAGATGTACTAGAGGCTGAAGATCGAGGACCATCTTTGGCCCACAAAGACCTCCAAACATTGGGGTCCCATTACTTAAAGTGACTCGGTAACATTGCCTTAGATTCTAAAATAGAATCCTGGATTAAGCTCATGCTGCAATCATTATTATTAAACCCTTAGGTCAGTCAGGAATCCCATGACTTTCATAAGCCGATCGCCTGTCTGATTATCAAGATATTAATGATTGGAAATCGAAATTTTATTTTTAGTTTTGGGATGGGAGCACTACTACTGTGGTACATATACATTGATCAAGGGACTACTCTCATACCAGAGGTCCTGTGTTTTGCCACATATTAATTCCTCTCTATAGTACCCAGGTGTACCTGTGCCCCTATAATTTCATATAACCTGTTATATACCTCACTTAAGAAATCCAGCCATCTGATTGGTTGAAATTGCAGTCATGGTTTTAGCCATTCCCGTAAATAAACGAAAAATGCCAAACCCATGTAATAGTTCTAGGGTAAAATCCCGGCAAAATTCCAGTTACCGGGAAAATAGTTCAGTCTTGCTGCAATACCCATTGGTTTGAGCGAGCGCGGATACCATACATTGTGTGTGTGCGAATTGGTCGCTAGACAGCAAGAACACCAAAAGGGTACGTCTTATAGGTCTAGATATAGATTGTGATTTTATTGTTTGCGATAACGGTGATACAGGTATTGAAAATTGTATAATGCAAGTGTTTGAATTCATTTGGTGGATGAAAAGTTGAATTCTACGCCGTTTTGTGCCTCATTGCAGCGCTGAATTTGGTGTTTGTCGCTAATTTCTGACAAATTTAGATAGCTTTCCTGATGGTATTTCATGCAAAATTTTTGTTATATTGATAAGCACTGATTCTTGTCCTTACCTTTGACTTGTTTCTTGTCTGTTATAGTAATTTAATAGATGAATTACTTGAATTCTGAGCACATTTCAGTAACACAAAAAAATCCAGCCCGTTTATAGTCCCACACACGTATTTGCATGTATACCTTGTGCCCTTACACTGCACAGTCTGCTGTCAAAGACCCTATTATATATTTTATTCAACAAACTAGAGAAACGTCAAGGTGGTTTCATCAGTTGACTCTTTTTTCAGTATATGAAAGTAACAATGACGGCTTTAATTTTCGAGAAATAGTTGTTTTTATACGCTCTCGGTGAGGTTACAATCGAGCTATTGCCGTCGGGAAGCCCCGGGCATTAGCTCGATTGTAACCTCTCCTTGAGCTAATAAAAACAACTATGTCTCTCAAAGCAGTAAATATGACTATATTATCAATAACACAAGTGCTAAATTTCTATGACCAATATTCTCTTAGCCAATTAAATGTATCGATTTCAGTAGCTTATAACAGCTATTGTTACTTGTTATTGATAACAAGTTTGATGAAACAGGGCCCTGGGAATTGCTATAAAGTATAAAGAAATAACACTGCAGAATTGATATCATATTTCATGTTATAACTGCTCGGTTTAATTGGACATCTTGCTGTCGTTGTCTTGTATAGGCCATATACCAAACGTAATATTCGTAATGAAATGTCTGATTTAAAACCATGTCTGTGAGAATGAAATAAATTTCTCATACTTATCATACCTTACTATACGAAAAATGCTATTCAATTACTTTATATTCTTAGTAGAAGACGTGAACATACCCCCACCGTCCCCTTTCTGTTACTAGTGTTAAGAAGAGGAAACATTCTAAAATGTAATGAGCAGTTTAATATAAAGTACTATGGCAATTCTAATTATAAAAAAATAAACACCACCATTGCAATTATTCATGATCAAGTTAATTTTACGTTCTTAAATGGACGAATAGTTTCTATCACAAAATGTGCAAAGATTCGGCTTGCTTGTAACCGTTCAGGGCTTTCAGATTTTGCCTTCTCCTTATTGAAGTGTTTCTTGTGCTTAACGATTATGTTCCATGTAATTTATATCTTGTATTTGTTATGTGCATCCTGCCAATTGCACACTTGTATTCTCGTATCCGGACACCCGCCCCTGGACATCCCCCACCCCCCGGATGCATTTTTTTCCTAACCTAGCCATCCTACCGCTGCATTCGATTGGCTCAATAGGAATCTATACGTCATGCGCTAATCATAAATATTCATGATACGCTCTCACACAGAAGCTGATGCGATAATTTATAAAATAATGAAATTTCATACCAAAATTACAAATGCAACAGCTATGTTTTTAAATAAATGACATTCCGAGAAAATCTGGAGGCTTGTACCGTAAACAAAAGACTACACAGGTCGTAACTTGTCCATAATCATTGCAACATACTAGTTAGTCAGAAATCTGGCCAACGCAAATCTTCCTATATTCTAATATTAATATGGAGCGCTAGGATGGCTAGGTTAGGAAAAAAGACGCCCCCGGATAGCCACCCCCAGTCAATTACCTCCTAGGACAACTACCCCTAGGACAACTCCCCCCGGGCAACTATCCTAAGGGGTAATCCACCTGGGGTAGTTGTGCGGGGGAGACTTGTCCTAGAGGGTAGTTGTCTGGGGGGGGGGGAGTTGTTGACTGGGGGTGGATGTCCAGGGGGTAGGTGTCCTAGAACCTGAATTCTACATGGAACTGTGTCATGGACCTCGGTTTCGAATGTTTAATTATTTTTTGTACTGCTGTTACGACTAATATTTCTAATAAAGGTGAGACAGCTTCGATCTCATTCATCTTCCTAAATTGTCTATACCATAGTCATGATCATGATGATAGTCATTTTATACACGTACACAAATGATTTGAACCTGATAATTTCTATTTCTTTACTTTGTTTTGTTTCTTTTTTTTTATACCGCTTTGATGTTTTGATGTAAACATTTTTTCATTAATATATATATATATATATATATATTTTCTTTCCCATTTGCTATGTTTTCTTTATATATATATATATATATAAATATATATTTTTGAATGCTTTTTTTTATATGATTGTATGGTTGATGTAAACATGCATTTTTAGTCTCTGGACTTTTTGACAAGTCGTGAATAAAACCTCATTTGAATCTTGAATCTTGAATCCTGGTGTTGATTACTTTGATTTCATTTTATTTCTGCATTTTTTAACAAATATAATAACTTAATATCAAAGAACATGTAAACGTAAGGTATAATACAAAATATACAAACTATAATAACTTTATGTCATTTTTTTCTTCATTCTTTATTATGTACAAATAATAGCGAGGCTTAACATAATATTTCTATAACACATTATTATAAATTTAAAGTATTATCCAAACTATCTGTTGAAAAGGTGAAGGAGACCGCAATCATAAAATGAAATAGTGTTCAAACGATCTTTGTGATCTTTGTGTAAGAGGCGATCTTAAAGGGCAAGTCCACTCCAAAAATAACTTACTCACAATAGAAGCAGAAAATGAAGACAAACCAATCAAAAAAGGTTTCTATTGAAAGTAAGTTATTTTTGGAGTGTATTTGCCCTTTGAGAGTAAGAGGTTTTTATAATCATAGTATACATTCTCATTAGAAAATTTTGAGGAGTGAAAATTGGTTTCAAAATATGCGTTGGATTCCAGTTCTGTCACGTTGGCAATGTCTTATGCATTCTTCAAAATCAGACAGAGCTATTACAATAAATGTCCATTTTCTCTAAGAAAAGATTAATGCTAACGCTTATTTTTGTTGGTATTTCTTAGAAAAACTGATTCATAAGTGGTATTTGTGTGTGTATATTTGCGTGTGAACTTGTTTTTTTTAAACAGACGTTTATCAATCAAATCTGCTTATAAATTTATTTACTCCTGGGCCCTGTATTACACAGAGTTGATATCAATCGCCAGGCGCTTACGCAGCGGGGTTGTTTTGGGGGTTGAACCCCCACCCTCATTTTTGTTTATGTGTGTGATTTTTGATGACCCCCCCCCCCTAATTTTTTTTTTAATACAAACAAAATTAAAATAACTAAATATCGGTTGGCCAAATTTTGACATTTTCAGGCCCCCCCCCTACCCCCCCCCCCCCCCCCCCCCCGCTTATTCAGCGCATTCAGCTGGATTCGGCTGGCTGAGTCGTTGCGTTCATGCTACTCATGCTCTCACTATTGGTCTCTCAATTACGATCTTTAGATAATATTTTTTCCTTCAATAATAAACTATCCAGCAAGGTAAATTCTGTAGATTTGTGACCACGATTTGCACGTCCCGTGAGAAACCAATGCCAGGAATGGTTAGATGAACTCGTGGCATGAACAGCCTGCCATCGTTAAGCTCAACCTAAAGTCAATCTTAAAATGAAACATTCCCCAGCTACATCAGATTGATCCTTGATTTCAAGGAGATGATATCTGAATAAACAAAGAAGGGGTCTTTACTTATCATGGCCTAGCCGCCTTTTACATAGTAATTAGACGCCAGTATATACCTGCCGCAAAAAAAGACAAACTTATGTCGGCGAATATTTGATTAATGCGAAGTTATTTGCTTCTGTTCGTTTGAACTATTCGACTATTAAATTTCCTCGCTAATCTCTCCGACAACCCCCCCCCCCCCCCTTATTAAATTATTTTTTTTCTCCACGCACTCCCTCCTCCCTACCACGTTCTCTGCATCATTTTGATATATAGACAGATTACGGTAGGATCGTTGCTATTTTTCTGAGAGTCAAATTTGTTGTGGAGATGATTAATGATATGTATTCCTCGACTTTAGTAAAGACACATATAACTGTTACATCAAATTCCGTTGTTTAGTGGAAAATTTGGGGCGGATTTTAGTCAATACATCATACAACACATTTTTAGCAATGTCTATTTACGTGTTTCAGTTTCACTTTACAGTTTCAGTTTATGTTTATGTTTCATAATACACATGAATGAATTTTACAATGTTTACATAAAATAAATGGTATACAAAGAACAAACATGAATTCTATAAGAAAAGAAGATACGTATCTCATAGATACTAGTTTGCACGGAGTGTTGATTTGAAAAGAAAAGATTGAATGAAAGAAAAATTGAAAATATGGAGGGGTCAAAGGTCAAATTAAGCACCGCTTGTAAGTTATAGACACCACAGATATAGTCTTGGAAAATAAATGGTAGGCCAATGCATTCATGCATGAAACTAAATCACAGTGCGATATGCTACATGTAATTACATGTATTAAATTGAGAGGGGAAAGGTACTGCGTGGTTATGACGTGTTGCCAAAAATAGGACTTTGTAAATATTAATACAGGGCAAATATGCAAGTACAGGGATTTGTTTTCCCCTATGATATATATATATGAGTATGACTCAAGAGCGACTTAAATAGGAAGCACAAAACTGGTAGGTATTGTGCAAATACCAAGCGCTGAAAAAGACTGTACATGCTTATTGTGTTAGAATACGTGTTAAGCGCGTTGCGGATAAAGAGTGGTGCATCGTTGGATTTTGCAGCCATTAATCAGAATAAAACAATGAGATTAGATTCAAAAGGGATATAATTTGATCCCGTTTTGCTCATGATCGCAACATCGTATCCATATTGATAGCGACGCTTTTACTCGTCCGTGCAATATTGGTTCTCCGCGTGTGGATGTATACAAATCCACCTTTATTTAACATGACAGCAGCCATATGCCAAACTATGAGGCTTCTATAGGCCTATAGTCTCCAGCACTTTCAGCTAGGAACGTCATTGAAAAAATGGACTGTCATTAAAATAATTATTAGCTGATTTGGGTAGCTGAAATTTCTCTCAGCCGCTTTGCCTTTTTCGCCTGTCTGTGATAGCTTGTGCTTGCGACATGGATGGAAATATGGAGGGAAAACGATCTATTGTTGGAATCGTCATTCAGGTATAGGCGTGAGTGCTCGGTGTGGATATTATGTACGATAATTATGTATTTTCATTGTAAGTCTATCAATGGTCTGAATGATTGCAGTGGTGGTAGTAGTAGTAGTAGTAGTAGTAGTAGTAGTAGTAGAAGTATATAGTAGTAGTAGTAGTAGTAGTAGTAGTAGTAGTAGTAGTAGTAGAAGTAGTAGTAGTAGTAGTAGTAGTAGCATAGTAGTAGTATACATCACCATCATCATCATCGTCATCATTACCATCATCATCATCATTTTGTCATCATTCATATCATTATTATCACTATGGAGATCGAGGGGCATGTAAAATTGAACGTGAAACAATTGAATGTGAAACATTTACGAGATGTCTAGCAACAACCCCAGGGCAAGAACAAACTGTACACAGTAACGCAATCACAATAGGCTTGCGTGACGCTAATGCTTTACGACAATAATATTTAGACCTGTCAAAAATCTAATGAAGAATAAAGTTGTACAGTGAAACATGTCTATAAAGACCACCCAAGGGACACAAGACATAGTCTTTATAGTCAGGTGGTCTTTGTACAGGTTCCCAGTACATGATTTAATGAAAAACCATTTTCAAGCTAGGGAAACAAAGAATGTGGTCTTTGTAGACAGGTGGTCAATAAAGCAGGTTTGAATAAATATAATTACATGGACTCACATTTTTGTTGTTGACTGTCTGAAAACGGAATATTACAATTTCAATTATACTTCATTTCATGCATTATATTCCACATACTAAGAATCTTGCTCTACGATTGGTCAAAAGTAAATCACGTGATGAAAGATAGATCGCCCATTATTGATGGGAGAAGCAAAAAGTTCGTTACACTGTGTAGATAGTACTACTATCTACACAGTGCAACGCACTTTCACTGAAGATAGAGGTACTATCTACAAAGGGCAACGCACTTTCACTGAAGATTATCCAAAAGCGCACTAAAACAGGCGTAATTAAGCGCGCATTATATTACCAATGAGCGCAATTAAAACAAACACATGCGCGCACCGTACCCTCAAGGGGTTGGGAAAAACTAACCTTTTTGGTGTGAATTTGGGTATGGTGTCTTTTATATAGATGCATACACGTCCTTTTCTTTTTGTAGTTAAATTGTTTTAGATGTGGAATATAAAGCAAATAATCACCTTTTTAATTTTAGAATATGGCAAACTATCACTTCCTCGTCGATCATAATGTATACGCTATCTTTGTTACCTTTATTTATAATGTTTAGGTTCCTTGGACACCCTTCCTCTTTGCATGCATTATAATAACACTGGCTCCGGCCTTTCATTGTCAAGGTATGTAAATCCCGATCGCACTGACTACGATCCGACTGCGATGTGACTACGATCTTACTACGATACAAATTTAGCAGAATTAGCAATAGCATTTGATACGAATATTCGCCCATGTAAAATCTAAGGGTGGTTTTCTCGAAAGCGGACTAACTTTAGTCCATGGTTTAATCCCAAGTGTCCATATGAATATATTTTTGATTAAATTAATATGTCCCTAAATTATCATGGTAAAATAACGATATCATAGTTATATTGTTGTTTATTAATTATGTTATTATATTTTATTTTAATTTATTGTTAAATTAAACTATTCAAAAACATATTCATATATGGACACTTTGCATTCCATACTTAGTCGGTGGATTAAACCATGGACTAAAGTTAGTTCGCTTTCGAGAATACCACCCATAATAACGAAGGATCTGACTAATCATTATGATCTTTAAGCAAATATAAATTCCAAGGGACTTCAAGCTTCCTTGGAGGAGAAATAGCTAAATCGGCGGAGAATCGTAGTGACATCAGACCAGTAGTGCGGTTGTCTACGATTGAAACGCGATACGGCTTTCATTCTGACTGGAATGCTTAAATGAACTACAATTCCGGTCGTTAGTATTTTTATCATTATTTAGAACCTTAAGAAAAGATGGTAATGTTGATTTAGATTTCGAGATCTATAATAATTGGCATTCCTGTAAAGTCGGATCACAGTTGGATCGCAGGAGGATTGTATCATGAGCGGCAGGCTTAGCCATAGTAACCATAGTACAGACACCTTATCAAAATTCAATATTTTAAAATTAGCCTTACAATATTACTGCTTGATTAAAATTAAAAAATAATTAATTGCCCAGATGCTGTTTGGTAATGGCTTATCAATGTCGTGAATTTATATACTTTTATTCCAATTTTTTTCTTCAAGTTTAGAATGTCGCAAAGATTGGTAATTTTAGGGAATCCAATAATCCAATCTTACTATACCACAGAAGATCAGCGAGTTTCTACAATCAGATTTTTATTTTGCCCTCCTTCTTTCATCCTTTCTACTTTATTTCAAAGCGTCCTGCCCTAGTGGTTCGATTGGCCGACTGGAATACTGCTACACACTCCATAGTGAGCCGTTGTCATGGCGACTCGCAGGGTCGCAATGTGGCTTTGATGGCGGTTTCTTGACCTCCATAGTGAACAGACAGGAGAATGACTTTCTTGTAGGTAAGGTGATGTTCAACTTTTTTGGGGGGTCTGCTGCTGGGAGCTTCGACAAGTAACATTAGTAGGCGTAAGAGGGGAAATGTATGTAATATTAAAAGGACAAGGAGGAGAAGAGGGCAGGATGCGGAGAAGTGTGAGGAGGAGGAGAAGCAGAGGAGGAAGAAGAGTAGGAGGAGGGGCAGGAGGGGGAGGAGGATGAGCAGTAGTAGTAGTAATACTAGTGGTTGTAGTATTGGTAGTAGTATAGTAGTAGTAACAGCTGCAGTAACACGAGTAATAGTTATATGAATAATCATTTAAATTATTTTACACTTTGACTCCTCTTAAAGACGACGGAGTGTAAGTCATTAATTTTCAACATACATACATAGACCGTAATCAGGTTACATACCAATATGAAATATCCTTCAAGTTTGCGATTACTCAAATCGTGAAAGTTTGAATTCATCATTTTACAAGTTATTCTTAATGATTTTAAACTTTACTTATTAAACACCAACTATAATGTATACGCATCATAAAAACGAACGAATAAAGATAAAATAAATCAATACAAAAATATATTTGTTGGGATCTTCTCAATTAGAATCCTTCGGAAACCTGACAAGTTTAGCATGGATAGGAATGGACTCGAGAGGGCGCTGGTTAGATGGGTCAAGTTCTCAGCTTTTTTACAATAAGTAAGTCGATGTGTGTAATTTAGTGTTTACTTCTCATGTATTACTATCTTAAAGGTAATACTAAGTTATTGAATTGTAAATAATAAACTCTTTATGTTGTATAGCTCCCTCTCAAGGTCAAGATATTAATTAAGCTATGAAACTATGGTTCTTGACTGACATCGACTGATTAGCTATTCCCGTGTTGAAATTATATATCACAAGTACATATTCTGAGATTTTCATGGTCGCAGCTATTGTTGTAGGGCCGTAGGCGCTATTCGAAATTTATCAAAATTTACCGGGAGCACCGGGAAATTGTTATATTAAATTTTTCTCGAAAGCAGAAGTGTTTTAGGGGCTACATTTTCTAGTACTCATAATACATCCACAGGGGCATCCAAATATATCAAAATTGTAAAGAATCACCATCCACCCAATTTTCAAAATTTCCCAAAACTTTGTATTACCTTTAAAGCAAATCTTGAGCTCTGGTATGGGAAACGTATTCTGAGAGAAGATTGCTATGATTTTTTTCTGGATTGTTTATCCTGCCGTAAATTGGTTTTTCATATTGCTCCGGTTGTCTCATTTTCGCTTGCTGGACGTATATAGTAGACGACAATTGGCGGATTAGACGACACTTGGTAGTGAATTTGTATGTGAGATTGCTTTGCTAAATATAAAATACAAGAACTTTTTCCATATCTTTAAACTATCATTGATATCTGATAATTAAACAGTTATTAAAATGAACCTACCAAATTACATAATACAATGAAATACTTGACTTAAAGTAGGGGAGTTTGATGTGGTGCATAATTGCACCCCTCTGTAAATAATCGAATATTCGTGTTTTTGATTACCTCGGCAAAATGTTTGCTTATCTTCAATGGAAAAATTACGGTGGGGGTTGGTTGAAATGGACATAATGGACCGATCAGAACTGATCTATTATAATTCATGCTTCTTATCCTTCGTGTGCTTGACCTAAAACCTTACAATCGCTTGGCTAACTGAGTCCCAAGTTCGACTTGTTTCACATGTGTTATATAGGCAATGGCGAGCTTGCAACCTATTTTGATCAAATTACGGTGGGTGAACTTTCAAAAGTCAATGAGACATGAGGGTTCCATTGAAAGGGCTGGTGATAACGTACGTCGGGGTGGTTTTTGGTAAAATTCTATTTACTATATTGACCAGAAGTCAAGTTTATCGTTGAATGCAGAGGAGTGGAAAACGACTTGTAGGAGGCGTATCAGGGATTCTTTGGAGTTGAATCCACTCCACATTATAGTGGAGTCCACTCGATAGTAGTGATTGAATCACTCTGTTTAGAGTGGATTTAAATATTTTGGATTCCACTCCAAACAAAGTGATCCCTATTTCCACTCCAGTACATTTCCACAAAATTTTCTTGTAATAATTTTATCATGTGTATAGTGTATATGTATATGTATAGTTACCAAGAAAAAATGAATTATGTACCTGCATTTTGTTGATACTTTATGAATAATATATGAAATACCTTTGTTTATCTTTTTGTTGGAAATGAAATCAATATGAATTGAATAAATATGAATTGGATTGAATTGAGAGTATTTTTCAAGTGAAATCACTGAAATGACAATTCCCTCTTATGATCACATTCCATTGCTAATTAGTTTGGATACCTTTCTATAGAATCACAGGTCTCTCCATTAGAAAAAAATATATTAAACTACTTAGCTAACAATGTCATGTAATATAAACATTGCGGTGAAATTATCCGTTTACGGAATACACATTTCCCTATCTTTTTGTTTAAATACCTAGTCTAATATAGATAGGATTGGTTTTAGGTCTCCTATTCTCTATTTTCTTAGACTCTGATCATGTTTTACATATTCTATGGGCGAATATACACTGTTAACGACAGTGAAGAATGGCGAATTGTATTTCTTTATTATCTATTTGTACAGCTTTAGATATGAGACGTTAAACACACATAGTTGTCCAGTGATTGACCTGGACAGAAACGGAAGATGGAACGTCTCAAGCTGTCTAGATTCTAGACTTGACTTTATCTGCAAGAAGAATTCAGGTTTGTCCTGAATATCTGCAAGATCTCCTCACTATAAAGCAATCCCATTACTCACTCCGTTATTCTGCCTCTACCATCCTAGAAGTCCCCAGAACCGAACCACCCATTATTGGGACCGTGCATTATTTTGTGTATGTTGCACCAGTCCTCTGGAACAAGCTACCAAGTGACATTTGAAACATTCAATGCCTAGAAACCTTTTAGAAACATGTTAAAACGGTTTTATTTACTCAGAGTTACAAATGATATAATGTTGTTAACATTCTGCAGAGAGAGATTTGTGTATTTTGTTTTGTATAGCGCCTTGAGTGCGCTTCATGAATATGTATCATTATTATTGTTATTATTATCATTAATATCTTGGAATGTCCTCATTCCGACCTGTCCGAAAATACCAAGATATCCTTATTTCATTTGGTGATTGCGCCTGATAACAATAATGATGATGCAGACATTTACAATGTTTGGCATATATCTACCCATTGTGCTCAAGGCGCTTACAATAAACAGATTAAATGTAATAACAAAATACTCTGAAAGTGCTTTAAAAAACACTTGTCTTTAAAGCCCCACTGCACTACTGATAGCTATTTGCGCCCTGTATATAGCAAACAATGCCTACTTGGAGACCATTATTCCCCAAAGGTCCAATTTTTTTCTTATGTTAAAGGTACTATGTCCCATTTGCAGGCCAAACAAATGAAAAAGTTAAATTCCAAAAGCATTTGAAAGATAATACTAATTTAGAACTTCCCTAAAAAAAGGTGAGGCTTGAAAATGTCTTCAAGTGGGAAAATAACGACTATTAGTTGTCAAATCGACTTTAGGGCTATAGAGCCCAAAAGTAATAGTCTTGATTTTCAGACAATTGTACCGAATGGTCATACGTTTTATGCTGTGCAAAGATTCAATCAGTTTAACCTTGGCCATCACAAGAAGTGGGTTATTGATGTAGACAAATGCTCATGTACCCTTTACAACTCTTTTCATGTATGTTATTACCAAAGAAGAAAAAAGACAGTCACTCAATAGTGTCTAACAGTGAAGTCTAGCAAGTAAACGGGTTTCCTTACATAATTTGAATATGAGGACACTGCTAACGTTTAAATTTCACAGATAGGACATACATGACATATTCATAATTCCTGCAAAGTTCTACATAATTTGAGGTTGGCTACAAAAGGGACATAGTACCTTTATTGGAGAGCTTGATTTGATGATATAACCACCTGTCGGTGACCTTGCAGGGTGGTCTAATCCCTCCTGGCAAACAAGTGCAGATAGCCGATACGTTTTTTAAAGTTTTCTCTCCAAGTAATCTACAGTTTTACAATTTTCCTAGTACATAAATGACGACGACAACAACAACAACATAAACACAAACATGGCAGTATATAAAAAAGGAATTACTTTGGACGTAGGCGATACAATTCAAATCGAATAGCATACGGAACTGCAAAGGAGTGTCGAAGAAATTTGGGCAAATTCAAGCCAAATTTTCTCATAAGTTACACACGACATCTAATATTCTATTTGTACATCCAATTATTGTATCCAGTTCGCTAGCCATGCTAGAACTTAAAACAGACCAAATATGAAGTAATCGGTTATAATTGATGTCAATCTATGTTCATAACTTCACAATGCTTAGTAACATAATCGGACAGATCACCTATAGGACTTGCCTACCATCCATTTTCAAAACGATCATAATACAAACATATTTAGCTATATACAAATATAGTTCTGCTTCAAATATATTGTCATGTATTTAAGTTGTGGGGTAGTAAATAAAACGTCTTGAATTTCACAAAACGATATGGAAAGGTTATGACCTTTAGGAAAATCGTTTTCGATAACGTAGAAAACATGCTACAAACACACCAATGTTTGGTAACTATTCCAAAAAACATTGGTAGAAAGGACACATGCATTGTCCATTTTTACCTAATGTTGGTTTGAACTACTCCATTTTCTCAAGCTGGTGTGAATACGTTTCTACCCAATATTGGGTAAATTTTACCCCTACTTCCTTTTGCGAAACATAGCTTTTAGCATACCTGTTCCCAATTGATTAGGTTGTATTTGGTAACATGATTACTGATTTTAACTGTTTTGTCTATTTAATTTCATTTATTAGCATGCCCTGCTGTTTTTTCTTAACATTACAGATGTTTCGGGTGGAAGAGACTCTCCTGCTCCTACAAACGGCGACGATGAAGAAGAAGTGGAGGGATCATCAGGAAAGTCTAATACCACACTCAAAACTGTGCTCACGTGGATTGGCGTCACCGTGGCCCTCGTGGTCATCGCTAGTTGCTCGGCAGGAAATGGCGCGGTGGGAAAGTGTTTTTGTAGCTGCTTTATCGATATGCTGGCTGGATTGTGTGGCTGCATAATCAAAATTCCGACTCGTTTGTGCGGGTGGATATATGAATGGTTATGCGTTATAGGACTTGCAATCCAGGTATGCTTTTATCGATGTCTAAGGTGTGGAGGCCTGTGCAAAAGGCAACAGGAAGGAACGGAAAGGGCGGAAAGTATATCATCCTATGAGTATGATCCTGAACCTCGAGGAGCGTTAAATTGCTTTTATCGATGTCTAAAGTGTGCAGGGCTGTGCAAAAGGCGACAGGAAGGAACGGAAAGTGTGTCATCCAGTGATCCTGAAATTCGAGAAGCGTTAAATTGGCCTCCGCTAGCCGAAACAGGACTGGAGGATCAATCACGAGCCACGCCATCAGCGCCGGCAGAGCCACACACAGACCCGCCTCCAGCGTATGGGGACGTCACATCTAATCGTCCGCAAAGTACGCCAACAGCTCCACCGCCGTCACCGCCTCCTGACAACAGAATTGCGCCTCCGTCCTATGACGCAGCTTTGGATCCAACTTTTGATATTCGACCTACAAACATTAGAGATGAGACGACAGCAGCCCCATCCTACGAGTCAGTAGCTAGATCTTAAAGCAATTTATAATAATTTGATAATTTCGTAGATTTTAGTGGACGTCTCATCCTAGAGATGGTATAGTTCCTCCAGAGGGGTGTTTCACAAAGATCCTAAGTTGAACTTATCTCTAAGTTGGACTTCAAAATTATGGAAAGCCGTTAGCATCTTTGAAAATATTTAGTAAAAAAAGTTATTTAAAAACGCATAAAATGTTGATTCAAATCATTCATACTTTGTATTTTCAAGGAGATTTCAAGTTCTAGATGTGAAGTTTATGAAAAGTCTAAATACTTAATTTTTTGCCTTTGAATATATTTAATTTTAAGGCTACGAATGGCTCTTCATAATTTTAAGTCCAACTTAGAGTTAAGTTCAACTTAGGATCTTTGCGAATCACCCCCAGGACCTATACGGTTCGTTCGAGCTTCCTTTACTCTTTAGAAGAGGAGATCAACTTTCTGGGGAGTTATATTATTATTATGGATCACTTCACTGGCGTGGAAAGCCACTTTCAAAGAGTAATTCAGCCAATAGCTGGAGTGGAATCCACTATTTTTTTGGAGTGGATTTAATTCTAAAGGAAGTGTTCCCAAAAAGTATGACTCGTCAAAAAGTGGATTCTACTTATCATGCATCAAGAGAGTAGAATCTTCCAAAGATGAACTAGAGGCTAAAGATCGAGGACCATCTTTGGCCCACAAAAGACCTCCAAACATTGGGGTCCCACTACTTAAAGTGACTCGGTTACATTTCCGCAGGTTCTGAAACAGAATCCTGGATTTAGCTCATGCTGCAATCATATTATAAGGCCAGTCAGGAATCCCAATCCCATGACTTTTATAAGCCGATCGCCTGTCTGACTATCAAGATATTTATGATTGGAAATCGAAATTTCATTTTTCGTTTTCCTAACGGTTTTTATAACACTACAGTCTATTGGGGGAAATGAGTGTGGTAAAACCGGTCCCTCAAAGATTTCTACTTTTTTGAGGCACTTCATGATCATTTTGAAGCGCAATTTTGTTCAGGGCTTCAATATTACACCATATCACAGACACTGCTGACACGTAGGGCCATGTATCTCAGATTTAACATTGTTAAAAGATGCCTTTAATCTATTCCAAATCTGGCTTTGAGTTCTCGAAGTTTGTCTTAGATGTAATTGTATAACTCAAAGTTAATAGCAATCAGCCAAAATCCACCAAGAGACGTTGCGATCCTCCATGCATGGGAGTACTGTGGTACATGTACATTGTTCAAGGGACTACTCTCATACAAGAGGTCCTGTGTTTTGCCACATATTGGGGACTTTTAGATTTACACGTCGACATAGTGGACTGCTACGTGTGACGTCCTTTTAAGACACTAAAAGGATGTCACCCGTAGCAGTCCACTATATGTCGACGTGCAAATCTTAAAGTCCCTATTCTTTCATCTCTAGTATCCATGTGTACGTGGGTACCTGGGCCCTGCTTCATGTAACATGTTAACAATAACACTAGTGCTAAATTTCTATTACCAACATTTTCTTAGCCAATCAAATGTATCGATTTCAGTAGCTTATAACAGCTATTGTTACTTGTTATTGATAACAAGTTTGATGAAACAGGGCCCTGGGAATTGCTATAAAGTATAAAGAAATAACACTGCAGAATTGATGTAATATTTCATGTTATAACTGTTCGATTTAATTGGACACTTTGCTGTCGTTGTCTCAAATAGGCCATATACCAAAGGTAATATTCCTAATGAAATGTCTGATTTAAAACCGAAATTTATGAAAATCAACTACCCCTACCGTTCCCTTTCTGTTACTAGTGTTAAGAAGAAGAACAATTCTAAAAAAAATAATGAGCAGGTAGAAAGTACTATGGCAATTCCAACTTTACAAAATAAACATCATCATTGCAATTATTCATGATCAAGTTAATTTTACATTATTAAATTAACGAAATGTTTCTATCAACAAATGTGCAAAGATTCGGCTCGCTTGTAACCGTTTAGGGCTTTCAAATGTTCCTTTCTCCTTAATATCTTAAAGTGTTTCTTGTGCTGACGATCATGTTCCATTTAATTAATGTATATCTTGTATTTGTTATGTGCATTCTTTCGATTACACACTTGTATTCTTCATGGCACCGCCCGTCATGGACCTGGCTTTTAAATGTGTAATTCTTTGTTTATTGTTGTTACGACTACTATTTCGAATAAAGGCGAGACAGCTTTTATCTCATTAATCTTCCTAAATTGTCTGTACCATAGTCATGATCGTGATGGTAGTCATGTTTCGAGCATTTATATACATTCATGAATGATGTCAACCTGATAACTTCCATTTCTTTACTTCGAGGGTTCAGTGACACAAAGACGTAACTCCATATTTTGCAAAAATGAGTATTTGATATCAAAATGTTCAGAAAATGTGGGCTTTCCACGTAAAGGCCCACTGCACTACTTGTAGCTACTTGCGCCCTCTTACAACAAACAATGCCTAATCGGTGACCATTGGTCCCCCATGATCCTCTTTTTCTTATGTTAACTGAGAGCTGAGTTGATGAGATAACCACCTGTCCAGTGACCTTGCAGGGCGCTCTAATCCCTCCTGTTAACTATGGCAGATAAGCTTTAACACAAAGACTTAACTCCACCCAACACCCCAATTGGAGTCAATGGCTAGTGAAGCATAAACTTAACTCCTGAAGGCCCAAGTGCTCAGTGACACCTAAACCACTTTTTCTCAAAATGGCCAAAATGGAATTACGTTTTTGTTTTACTGACCCCTCTACTTGTTGTTGAGAACTTAAGAGTAAGAGGCTTTTATAAACATAGTATACATTCTTATTTAGAACATGTTGTGGAGTGAAAATTGGTTTCAAAATATGCGTTCAATTCCAGTTCTGTCACGTTGGCAATGTGTTATGCATTGTTCAAAGTAAGACAGACCTATCACAATAAATATGCATTTTCTCTACAATAATATTAATGCTAACGGTTAGTTTTGTTAGTATTTCTTAGAAAAGCTGAATCATAATGTATGTGGTATTTCAGTGTGTCTGCCTCTGTGTGAACTAAATATGGTAGGTGCCGCTTTTACCTTTAATAAGTGCATTTCCTCTTCTTAGAAGAGCACCTTTTCATTTCTGATGAGTGCCCCTTTTGAGGTATGAAAAATGCCATTTGATTAGTTTGCAGATTGCTTTTCATTTACTTTCAGTTCTGAATACATAATAAAGTTAGTAAACATTAAAATGTCTTGGACAGTTCTAATAATAAGTATCTCTTTTACTTTCTGAGATACCCTTTTACTATCTAATAAGTGCCCCCTGTTTTGAGTTGTGTCCCAAAGGAGAAGGAACTTACGAGAAAATAAGAAATTATTGATATTTTTGTAAACTACAAACGGGGGAATTGTCTATGACTATGTCATTGTCCAAATCCACTGACCAAGCTGCCAATTTCAGATTTGCACAGATTTAGTTAGGTCATATAAGTTTAAACATTCAGAACTCTCTCACTATTATTACTAAGGTTGAATAGCCCTTTCATGCGACGGTTGCACAAAAGCTCTTTCAACTTCAGACTGAATTTGAGGTAAATCTCAACATTTATTTGTACAGCAAAATGAACTATTACAATACCTCATAAAAGTGTGGATGGCTCTTGTATTGTTGTAAGTTGTAACATATCCAGAAAACAGAAACATGATCTAGTACGGAGAAAGATTCAAAGATCTTGCTAAATTTTGAGGAGGATGAAATAACGATTTGCTCACAATAAAAAATATTATCTGCCTAAGAATCCGGAGTACATTTCATATATAACAGTGGTACAACTATGTTTCACAAGCTCCCTCTCGAGTTAAAACTGCTAGTTTAACGAGTTTAAACACGTCCCCCCCCCCCCCCCCCCCCACCCATCTTGAAAAATAGCCCGACTGTCAGGTATAATTTACCGAGCGGCCATTTTGAGTGGCCATTTTGAAAGAAAAAAGGGCCTCCTCCTCCTGCCTATTTATAAAAAAACAGGACCCAAACATTTTTTTAAATTTGGCCTTATAGCACAGTACAAACAAAATCAACTGCCAGCAACCGATGTCTACTGCTTAATAATAACCAAAAGTTAAAATATAACAACCAGCATTGCATAATTATCTTTGTGTATAGCGATTTCTTAAGTGCAGAAGAACATACATGTACATTTAAAAAGTCATGATCGTTATAGCAACTTTCACATTTCTAAGTCTGTTAGATGAGCAAGTATGAGCAATGGCACGAGTAGAAAGGTACATGAAATACATAATTACATAGCGACAAAGATTAAATTAAATACGAATATAGGGATATAAGAACTTTCTGGAAAGAAAATCATTCCTGGTGGATACTAATGCATACTCTGTCCGAAATAACAGGGATGCATAACGTTGATGACGAAAATGTGAGAAACGGGGAGTAAATCTAAAACAATAAGAATACATTAATGTAATTCTAAAGCTTTTAAGTCCCCTATAGATAGGCAACTCTAAATGCGATTGCCTCTGCATTTTTTGTATGGTAAATGTCCCCACAATATTTTTTTTCTTTTTAAAAGTGTTGATATTTTATTTCTTTTAAACGCAGGAGGACCTATTAAAACACATTTACAATGTCAAATCTCGGCAACAGCTTTGACAAAGAAAATTGCTGGGTGATGTTTAATAAAAAATCTTTAGTACAAAGCGAACATAGAGTAGCTGTAAAATCAGACATTTACATAATTTTCTAGAACTTATAAAGACCGTTTTATTTAATGTTTCTGCATTCATCGAAGTTAGTGAGAATATTTTCTAATACGTACTATTTTATTTCTATGGGTTTAGATAGGGTTGACACAAATGTCTATCAACAGTATATTAAGGACAAAAAATTGGGGGAAAATGGAATTTCCTCTCATGATTCTGGGTAAAATATAAATACAAGTTTGAATATTCAGACATTGATCTGAAATGCATCTTTGAAAATGAAGGAAAATCGTTCAATTTATTTAACAGTAATATACACACAAATTCCTTTATTAGAATGATTATCTCCAACTGTAAAATAATCTTTTAGTCCACAATAATGAAATTGTGTCTACATCATGTACACATTCATAACGGCTACCAAAAAAGTCACATTCACATTATTGTAGAGTTATCAACAACAATACAATCTTGACAGATAAACACATTAGAAGTATATAAAAAAAGGGTTACTTTTTATATTTTAAAAAGGTTCAATTATTCAAATTGCTTTATATGTTCTAGGAATATCATTTTTAAATCAGTCACCAAAACTCTAGTTCAAAATAAAACTGATTCCACTGGATGTTATATACACTTCGTGAAGTGTGGGAAACACAAGGCCTGTTAAAAACATTTGAATTTATTAAAAGAGGGGGGGGGGGGGGGGTCGGGGCGTGGTTATTTTTCAACGAAATATTATGTTACTCCTTTTACCAGAAATAAGAGGGTCCGGTCGCATACGCCCCCCCCCCTCCCGTCTTCCTACGGGCCTGAAGAGAGTAGTATCATACAGTGCAAGGAAGGAGGAGTCATCTGTTGATTTCAGTCGAATATATAGAGTCTATCAGGAGTGCAGAGAGCGATCTCTCCTGATCGGTACTGCTGGAGAGAGTACCAATATTTCTCGGGCTTCTCAATCTTGTAATCATCGACCAGGTTCTGGACATGCTTCAGCTCGTTAGTGTACTCATCAATGCTGACCAAACCTGCACCATGCTTTAACGTGGCTATCAGGATAGTATTCCATTGAGACACAGCAGCGTATAGTAAATAACCTTCTTTCGCGAATTCATATTTTAGAACATCTTGTTTGTCAATCAATCGTATTGCCTTACACGATGATGTGATCAGGTATTCATTATAGCTAGTAATCTGTAGAGCCTCATTCAAATTACATGGTATCTCTCTGATCGCCTTTCCACCCGCTGGTGAGAATACCAGGATCTTTTTGGCTTTCCAGTAGCTAACATAGATCTGATCATCACCGTCCACAGTGAGGGTAGCAAATCCACCTTCATCGTCACTCAAAGTCTCAAACACTACATTCAACTTTGTGTACTCAAGTGTGTACAGTCTAATATAGTTTGAGCTAGCAAGTATAACACACCGACCATCAGAGAGGAACCCTTTTCCAAGAATCCCCACATGTTTTAGAACTGTCTGCTGGAGCTGGCCATCAGCAGAGAAGATCTCCACGCCACCTGTACTATATCCCACTGCCATCCTACCGTCTGGTGTACTAACCATGGAATTTATGCTATCCTTGCTAGTAGGCAAAGCGATGCTCTTTGGAACTGCATTTACGATGTTACCGAGATTTAGCTCGTCCATTCCAACTTTTCTCTTAAAAGTGACACTTTTTCCTTTCTTGCTCGATTGCATCGGCTGCTTGTAGTCAGGATCTTCTTGTTTCAAGGCCTCTTGTAAGTCTTGACGTAGAGTGTCGTGTGCAGCCAAAGCATCCATATCAAACGGTATCTTTGTCCTATTGGTTACCACGTCAGCTATGTTGGTCAAGTGAGTGATGTGCTCCTGAGCCGATTTCTTCATTTCGTCCAGTTCTTTCTCTACTCCTTCGGTCCTAACCTTGACTTCAACAATGAGGATATCTTTCTTTTCTGTCAGCTGCCGGACCGATTCTTCATATGCGTTGTTGATATCATCTGTACACTGCTTCTGAACATTGCTCACACGCTCCTTCTGTTCATCAATGAAATCAACGTATTTCTGAAAGCAAGAGCGTTTCTTGTCCGCCTTGGATTTGAGGTCCTCGATACTCTTCGTATGGCTGATTTCATAAACAGCTGCCTCGATGACTCGATGTCCTTCGTTTGTATGCTCCATGACAACACACCTGAAGCAGGCAAATTTTCTGCAGTCGGAACAGAAGCACTCCTCATCCTCTTTGGGGTGTTTCCTGCATTTGTGATACCTACGTACTGACACCTTCCCTGATAGGATCTCACTCATTGCTAGGATCTCATGACTAATGAAGTCTTGCCACAGAGAGTGTGTGTTGTCGCAAGTGATACAGAGATACTTGCCACAGTCTTGACAGTAGACTACAGCTTGCGGCTTGTCTTCAGATTTACAAATCGAGCAAAGGTGATATTGATTCTTAACGTCCTCTATGAGAGACTTCAAAGCTAGATTTGCCGGTAATTTGCTGACATCTTGGTTTGGGACCTGGGTTTCAGCTCTGCAGACAGGGCATCGGAGCATCTGGTTATTACCATGGCATTCCAAGATGTTGTCCAGACAGGTCTTACAGTAGGTATGAGAACAAGACAGGATCTTGGGATCGGTGAAGGTATTCAGACATACAGGACACTCGAGACTTTGAGTAATGACATTCTTTAATGCCTCAGCCATGATTCGAATTCTACACGAACACGAAATAAAAGAAAAGGAATGAAACCCATAATGATTAATATAGCTTTGATTAATCTCATCGTATTAAGAAAGAGTGTTTATCATTTTCAACTTGTCTTTTCCCTGCAGAATATAACGCGTACACAATATAATATTCCGTTATACGTTGCATCTTGATTAAAAATAAATCGTATTATTCATCAACTGTATGTAGTAAAAAAAAAAAAAATCTTTCATAATGTTGTCGCTCTTCATTCAATGCACATGGTAATGGGGAAAAACGATGATGATAATGATAATACTGTAACTGTTTCACATATGTTAGATAAGTATGGAAGACCACTGCGTTGGAAAGACGCCAAAGAAATTGGATATACGTTGGAAGGTTACTTTATACTCCTTGACTGCTATTAGAAATGACCGCTGCTATGGAAGTCTTTTGTCTGCATACAAACTTTCTCGTTAAACCAATAGGATCAATCCCAATGTTTGTTATCGATAGCATTTCCAGAGAAGCAGCCGATTTTCCGAAGAATTTATATTACTCATTTTTTCTGAAGTTTAATTGAAAATTCCGGACTACAACATGAACAAATAGACAATCTTTTAAAACTTCCGTTTCGTATTACCATAGATACAAAGCTACGAGCTTTACAATTCAAAATCCTTAATGATTTGATCCCTACCAAAGTTTGGCTTTTCCGAATTCACAAAATTACATATACAAAGTGTCCCTTTTGTAATAGGTTACACGAAACCCTGGAACACCTTTTCTTTTTCGTGTCATGTCGTTACAAAATTCTGGAATTACCTTTTTTGGCTTTTTTCAGAATTTGTTTTTTCTGACTTTTTAATGGAAATGCATGTTTTCCGTGGTAGTTATGAGCCTCGTAGGTCTAGAAATATCTATCTCTCAAACTGCTGGTAGGGAAACAATATATTTTCAGGTGTCAAAGCGACGCTACAAGCCTACTCTCAGTCACTTTTGTAAAAAAATGTTGTCGTTCGAATCTGTCGAAAATTACATTGCACAAACAAATTAGTCATCCATACTACCAAGAAGGCAAGCATTATGAACACCATAAAGGGTCAGTAGGAATGAGAGGTTACGTTTTAGATTATTTTCCTCATTTGGCCAGGTGTCTGCTCTTTGTATATTTTTCCCTTCTGATGAGCATTGTTTATCTCTGGTTGTCTCTTGTAAAGTTTTGTAATCTCTTAATACCAGTAATCAACAACCATAGCCCTTTGATTGTTGTTTTTATGTATGTTAGACATGTGTACAGCATGTAATTTGTAATTGTAATTCATCTGTCGGTTTTTAAGGATAATGCATTCACAAGCTATGTATAGGCATACATAATGAGCCACATGACCTTTGACCTGATGACCCTAAAATCTAATCAGTTCATTGGCTCTGCAAGATACATATACATGTCTTGGGTTCGATACTAATCTATCTATTGGTTCTCATGATAATGCGATCTCAAGTTATTTGTGCATACATAATGAGCCCTGTGACCTTTGACCTTGTGACCCCCAAAATCTAATCAGTTCGTTGGTTCAGCAAGATACATACATATGATCTCAGCTTGGCAGGAATCCAGCAATCGGTTCTTGAGATAACGCGATCACGAGAACGGGACGTACGGACGGACGGACGGACAACCCGAAAACATACTGCCTCTGGCTACTTTGTAGCGGAGGCATAATAAAATCTGAAAATGTATACTATTATTATCTAGATCTATTAGGAATAAATCATTATCAAAATCGTTCCAAAAATTGGGTTATACATAATTATTCCACCATTATGACCAACAGTGTATTAGAAACTTGTGACCTTTGAACAAAAACAAATATGATCCGTGATCTACCTTTAGATATGATGCAGATAAACATACATCATTTTTAGCATGGAGGTTTAGGCTTTGAACAACTCCAAATCTTAGTTGGCAACATTTTTTATCAACAGTATCAACAGCAATATAAAAAATATAGATTTCCCTTGGTTGGCAAAATCTCTAGCTGATATTTTCTAGTAGCTATGTTAAGAAACACATTATAACCTGAAGTAATTACCATGTGCATTTATATCAATATAACATGTAAGAATAATATATCATGACAAATACTGCAACATACCAAAATAAATCATCGTTTTTTCACAGGACAAACGAACAGTAAGAAGTAATAGTTATACTTGATTTGTCTTGGCTTTTGTTTACTCGCTCTCCATTTATCAACTGAAAGACATTTAGACCGAGACCCACTTATTTCAGCTGAAGGAAAAGAATAATTTTATGAACCAGATACGAAGCCTCAAAAATGTTTAGGCGTCAGCCTAATAGAGTTATATACAGCAATGTAAAACGAAAATACTGCAAATTGTCATCGCATTTCTTTTTCAAATGACAGACATTTTAGTTAACTCATCCCCCCCCCAATTACATATAGATCAGTGTAGGTGTTGTTACGAATATGCAAATGAGATGATTCGGGATAAGTTAATTTCAGATGTTGCTCGAGTTGAGTATAATAAACCACGAATTTGGATCAAAAGGTAACAAATTGTCTTGATTTTCTTATTGTATTAATTTAATTTTAGGTTGTGGAAGGGGAAAATGTGAGTTAATTGCCCCGACCCAACAGTGTTAAATCAAACATACCCAAATCGTTACATTTTTCCCCAAGACAAACAGACACTGAGAAGTTATACGTATGAACGATATCAAATATGATAATGCGACCAACGTTACTTCCGGGTTCACGATCACGTACATTAAAGTCTTACGGTCGGGTTTCAAAGATCCGTTTTGTTTAAGGGAGCTCACTGGCACCCATACACCATTATCATATTGGTGTTAGCTCAATAGCTGTCCATTAGTCATCTCCTGACTCATCTAGACCACTATGTAGCGCTAGAGTTCAGTAATGTAGACCCAGTTTAAATATTTCAGTCTAAGGGAAATGATGATTTTATAAACCAGATAAAAACAAAGCCTCTAAAGTGTCTGGGACTCTGCCTTATATAGTATGTATACGTACATGTAACACAGAAATATAACGAACAATTACCGAATGTCTTTTAGTAATGACACAGACATTCTAATTCACTCACCTGTTTTTCCGTAACTACGTATCGGTCTAACGTCTAGGTATTATTATAAATAAGTAAACTAAACATGACTGCTATTTGCCTCTACAATGGACTGGTGCACTGATCATAAGCAGTACTATATGTATGTATTCAGTTTGTCAATCTAATATTAAGTACTGGGAAAACCCGACAACCTTTGACAGACAAGTAGATTGAGATTTTAATCGTCCAAAAAGTGATCGTCCAATAAAAACTCGATCCCGGAGATGGCGCTAAACATGCTATTAACACATCAGCGAAACCGGAACAGGTTGCATACAGTGTGTGTGTTGGTGTGAAAGGGGGTGTGGGGCGGGCCGTGAGCTAGAGGGGGAGGGGTGTCATGAGTTTGTGTGGTGCGAGTTGAGGATGTGCGAGTGTGTGATTGGGTGGGACTCTGTAAAATTCATACCTTCCTATATTGTTATTTTGATTATAAACTGTTATATGAAAGGGAAAATGTACAAACATGTATAGTTTGAGATTTTTATATTACTTATTGTGATAAAAAAGATATTCATTATCTTAGATCTTCAAATTTATTGGATTACTCATCATCTGGTGGGTAGAGCTAAGAAGTTTCAGGTTGTCAACTTTTCGGGCACGGTCAACCGTCAGCTGACTCTGGCTTAATTAGGAATAAGGAATATGGAGACGTACTGCAATGATTACATAACAGCTAGCCATAACTGAGCTGTATGTATGACAATAAAATAGCAAAATGGGCGCTATAACACTGTATGACTGATATTCGAGCTAGACTTTACCTTCCCCCTACCCACCCGTCGAAAAATGGGCCAGTAAACCTAAACTTACTTTGAAGCCCCAAATATTGTTATATCTGGCTCAAGTATAATCATTTTAGGCGCAGCTTTAGGGATTCTTGGTCCTGAATTTTTACTTCACGTAGAAGCAACAGAGTTAACTTTCTCCATTCTGTTTCTCTTATTTCTCTGCTTTAAAAGAAAAAGAACTTATTACTAAGGCTGGATTGCTCATGAAGGCAGGAAAGAAGAAAAGTAATATATATATTTTAATTTCTACCCGATGACATAATTATTTTGATTGAATTTTAGTTTTTCTCTTGAGTTTTTCTTACGCTTTGTTTCCTTTAAAATCGTAAGGTTTAATGCCACAAACGATTGTTGTTCTTAATTGGGGTCATATTTCTAAAATTAGTATAAGTTGAAAGCAGTTCTGTTATTCATACTATTAACATCATCATGATAACTGTCATCACTCATAATTATTATCATGAACATTTTGCAAATTTAACATATTTTGAAGAAATGGACTCATATTTAATGGTATTTTTGTTAAAAGTGGGACCAATGCTTAGGGATTTTTTTGGGGAAAGTGACCCAATTAGAGTCGTATGGGTTGAATTTTTGATCTTGTTGATTATCTATTTAGTCAGGTATTAGTCATGTTCATCATCACTACCACCATCACAATTATCATATTCAGCATCAACATAATCATCATTATTATTATCATCGTTGTCACCGTCATTATCATTATCATCATCATCATCACCATAAACATCAACATCATCAACACAATCATCATCATCATCCTCACCATCATCACCACCATCATCATCACCACCACTCTCGTCATCATCATCATCCTCATCGTCATCATCTTTATCATAATCAACGTCAAATTAGAGAGGCACACACCCGTACGTCCTAATATGTGAATACCCCCCCCCCCGTACACAATATACCCATATTATTGTTCTCTCTTACACACACACATGTTCATGAAAGCCTCTACGCATCCACTATTTCGACCATCCCTCCTTCCATTCCTTCTCTCTTAAATCATCTATTTCCTTCAGTCTATCTTTTAAAATCTA